TGAATGCAAATCTCAGCTCTTGTTCTAAAGGGTACCTACCACGTGGTGCATTAGAAAACAATTCTCACATAAATTTTTTGACCTTGATACTATATCTTTGACCCAGTCAGGTCCCCACGGAGTGAGGGTGCTGTCATGGATAGAGTGAAAAATACCCAACCTTTGGTATCATATGTAAGGAGTGGTTGTTGACCATTATATTCAGTTCTGAAACTGAGACCAAATAATAACTATTTGAGTGATACATTGTTAATCCATAAAAACTCTGCTGTAGTTTTAAGGAGCTAATGTATCAGCTTTCTGACTAGAATCCTGGCTCTTTGGTATGATTATTGCCAAATTTACAGCCAGCGGGGGGAGTCAAGGTACTAAAAATTCTCAATAGGAGAAAGAAAAAAAATTATCCAGTACCAGTACCTGAATAAGCAGAAAATCGATTAGAAGCTGAAGGACAGCCTATGGTTTCAAACAAAGACTGGTCTGCAGTATCTTGATCTGGGTCATTCCTGGCAAATAAAACTATGTACTTTTAATATATCTTAATCTTTTTGTTACTAAGCTCTCTTTGATATAAATTAAAATCAAGATTTTAATTCAAGTCAAAGTCAAAAATTAATTTTAACCACACATTTCGTAGGACCCGCAACATTTCAACCACATATTTCATCAACTTCTATTAAAATGTACAAACAAATCTTATTTTAATTCCTACCAAAAAGGAGCTAAGGTATTGTTTAGCTATATTTTCCTATGTAGGTTCTTTTCTGGTCAATTTTGACATGGTGTTGGTTTACTTTTTCATGCATGTGGATTTATATAGGGATAGTAGGAAGAAAGCTATCTTTATATGAATTCAATATTACTTGAAGGTAACCTTACTGTAAGTTGGTGTTGCTGTTTTATCTTCAAGGTTAAAAAATTTGGAAAACAATAAATACACAAAGAAAATGGAAGAAATGGAAACTATGGACAACCCATTTATTTAGGGTCAGCTCTTGCCTACATTTGGCAGCTGTTGGTGGAATCGTTGTGGGGAAAATATGGAAAAATTTGGTCCAAATCAGAGACTTCATTCCATTCATTCCTCTCAACATTTTTATTTAGGAGGTTCAGCTCTTGTCTTCATTGGGCAGCTGTTTACGGAATCTTTCTGGGGAAGTATGAAGAAACTTGATCTGAATCGGTGTCCTGATTCTATTAATTCCTCTTTTGTATGTACCAGTGCCCATGGCAGCACACACCAAGAGACAGAAACACATTTGTTTTGTTTTCATGTCATAGTCCTTTTAACACATATGGATGCAACTTTGTAAACAACTTATGGCACAACATGGTTGATATTCTTAATCTATTTAATTCCCCCTTTTTTTCTTTTTCTTTTTCTTTTTTTTTTTTGCATTTAAGGATGGATTCTTCTGATGTACAAGCTTCACATGATCTGACTCAGAACAATGTAAGTCCTTCCAGGATTTTCTTATTGTCATTTTGTACCTCCTTTTTAATCGTTTGTTCACTAGTTAATTCCTGTTACCGATTTGAAAATGTTTTTATCATGGCATGTTGCCAGTGATTTTCTTTTCTGGCTTGCATGTTACTGGATTTAGTGTCAATCTTGAACTAACATGATGCACTTGTCGTCTAAAGCAACATTAGTCGTTAATTATGTGATTGCATAATGAAATTGAAGTTGTAAAAATGAAAATTTGAGAAATTTGTGAATACTATTTTTAGGATGACTTGCTGGTTTGATGGGAGATTTTTTCAAGGACTCTGACCTCATTTGTTTCATATAATTGTTACGTCATGGTTCCTAGTTTTATTTCACTGCTCATATTCTAAGTAGTCTTTTCTATTGCTTCAATACTAGTTCGATGTCAGTACTGTAATGTTATGTGTCCTGTTTCTCTACAAGTCTTGTAGTGTGTTGGAAGGGACAATGTTGCTCCATTTTAACATGTAATTATCTAACCCTGCATTCTCTTGTAATGCATTTAGAATTTTTTTCCAATTTGTGGACTGGGATTTACCTTTTCATTTTTACTTCTAATATGTATATGCTTTTCTGTATGATATATAGAATGTTGAAGTGTAGTGACATCTTCTATCGTTGATCATTGTTTTTGAATTTAAAGTTCGGAAAAACTGTTGTATTACTGGATGAGGACCCAGAGGTTTCGGATGTAATTTCACAAGACAAAGTCGATGAACGGTATATTGATTTTTAACTTTATATGTTTGTTTAAGTCCATTTTCAGTAAATACTATATGATTTATTCTCTTTCATTTGACCTAATTCTTGTTATATTCTTTCAGCATCAAAGAGACCAGGATATACTATCCCTCAAGGTAGTAATTGCACTCTGTTTTTTCTATAAATAAGAACTGTCTGCTCTGAGCAAACATGTCTAATTTTTGTTTACATGCCAATGGTTTTAATTTCCAAATTTGAAATAGGGATGATCCAGAGGCAGTTGAAATTGGTTATTCAGACATGGAATGCCTTGCTCCGGAGTCGTATTTGTCATCAATCATAATGAATTTTTACATCAGGTAAGTGAAATAAGGTTGTAGAATCCAACTCCTACTTAGCACTCGGAATTTCTTCGATCTTGGAGTTATACATTTGTACAACACTACAACATAACACATTTCATTAATGTTATGCAGAATCCCACCCTCACTTAGCACTTCTAGTTTCGTCACTACAACATAACACATTTCATTAACGTTATGCAGAATCCCACCCTCACTTAGCACTTGTAGTTTCGTCAACCTTGGAATTATACATTTGTACAACATAACACTTTTCATTAATGTTATGCAAAACCCCACCGCCACTTAGCACTTATAGTTTCTTCAACGTTGGAATTATATATTTGTACAACATAACACATTTCATTAACGTTATTCAAAACCCCACCGCCACTTTGCACTTGTAGTTTCTTCAACGTTGGAATTATATATTTGTACAACATAACATATTTCATTAATATTTTGCAAATTATGTCATAAGGAGGGTATGGGGCATATTAGTAACTTGTGCTCTTGTTTTGTTGGGTAATCTAGAAGTAATGCAAATTAGAGAGTTTTCATTTTTGAATTAATGTTGAGATTATTCATTTGAATAATTATTGATCTTCTCTGGTTAGGTATTTGCAGAAGTCAATATCTCCGACATGCTCTGAAAGTGACTATTATCATTTTTTTAACACGTACTTTTACAAAAAGTTGAAACAGGATGTCCTGGCCAAGGTATTGATTTCTTCTCTGCTATAAGTTTCTGGGTGTGCCTTCTTTTAGAATATTTGATTTTGATCCCAGTCATAGCCTTGGAACTCTAAATATGTTTACAGGTACTTTAATAGTGGTGGCAGAAGTAGGTTTTAATTTTTCAAATGCACATTACTTCTTTGTAATTTCCACGGCTTCCTAGGAGAATGTGTAGTTTACTTAAATAAAGATACAGTCAACTTACCGTGGTTCCAGTGGTTTCATGTCCTCAATTTAATGTCCTCTAGAAACATAAGGAGAGAGAAAATGCATAGTTGATCTATTCGCTATAAGACTTTTCTTTGTCTTCTTTGTTTTCTGGGAACTTCTATCTTATTAGACTCCCATCTTTCATAAATCATAATTGATGCAAAACTTATAAAAAAAAAAAAATTATTCTTAAAAAATAATCAACTTATTGGTTAAGATGAATGCTCATTGTAATACATACGCTGTTTAACTACTAAGTTATCTGTATGAAGTCTTTCATTCAGTGTGAAATTTTTAACAATGCAGAATGACAAGGAAACTTCATTTGTCAAATTCAGAAGGTGGTGGAAAGGTGTCAATTTATTTGAGAAGGCTTATATATTTCTACCTGTTCATGAAGAGTAAGTAGTATAGTCAATTATGAAAATGTGGTTTAATCACACGTGAATTTCTTGTCAGATGCTCTTGTTCTTTCCTTCATTGAATAAGTAACTGATACTACATTGTGTTGCACAGACACTTCAACCTTGTCCGTGATCGACACAAGTCGTGTCGTTTGAGATACCATCACTAACAGAGCGCTCTACGATAGTCACTTTTCTTTCTTTGATAGTAGTAATATATAGTTTTAACTTGAAGTT